TGAAGAGGAGGAGGGATTTGAAGGAAGAGAAGAGGAAATCTCTGTAGCGCAGGCAATCCATTCGAATCAGAAGCAAGGTGAAGTGTTGGTGCGAATGTTAACATCAGAAGTCAGCTTGCAGAGAGAGTTACAGCCACTGGTCTCTGAAGGTGAGGAAGAAAACAGGGAGCAGACAGGTAGAAGGGACAAAGATGACAAGATGGTAGAGTGGAAGAATGGTGATGAGGATTTAGTAGATGATAGAGAGATGACCTGGTATTTCACATGGAGGTAGTATTAGTTTAATGAATAATCAGTAGTCAGTACTCTGCTTAAAGACTGTTGTAACTCTCTACAGAAGGATATTCTGACTCATTTCAATAAAACCATGAAAATGCAGTTGATGGTCCCTCTTTTGTCAGTGAATCTAAAATACATACTTGTGTGCGTATTATACTGAGCCATACGGACTTAAAGCTCAAAAAGAGAAGGCTGAAATAAGATTTAAAAAAAGAAATTGCAACACTGAATATCAGACTGACAGGAAATTTAGAAGAAAATGGGAAAGAATACGACCATTTGATCGGTCCATAAATCTTTATTCTTTCCAATATGAATGATTTATTATTACATTACAGTCTCTGAAACCAGTTTGAAATATATTAAAGTTCAGCACAAATATCCCACCGGTTGATCCATAACTGCAAGGAAAGGCACCGTCTCCATTATCAGTAACTGAAAGCAGCATAAAAATTGGCTACAAAACAATGATTCCAGTATTGCTTTACATGTCTGCTTATTGTTTCTGTGACGTTAATGGTCATGCACATAGATAGCTTTGAATCATAACAAATGACACGCAGCGTTTTTGAGAAGAACATATATTTGGATATGATAAAGAGCTATACAAACAAATCTGATTTAAGTGGTATTTGGGTTTAACACAGTATTGCAAAGAAGACAGTCTGTAGAGACCCTCTTCTCAACATGAAAACAGGAAAAATAACTTAAGATAATTAATATTTTTTTAACAAATATAATTGGTGTGGAAACTCTTTTGGAAAAAATACAGAACTCTGTACCACAGATCCACCATTACTGGATATGTTAAATGTACAATATTTTGCTATATTTACAGAGCACCCAAAAGTCCCATTGTTAAGAGTACTGACTAAACTAAAGCACTGATTCAGCAGGACATAAGTGGTACAATCATTGTTTGACACTAGAGGGCAGTATATTCCCATCTCTAGCAACTGTAAAGCTCAGAAGACCCTCTGGCATAACAAAATATACTGTATTTACTCTAAAATGCAAAATGAGTACTTAAGAAAATTAAGACCTACACCATTAACATAAATTTTCTAAATGCAAATTTTAAATATGTATCTCATCTATCCAAATCAAGTTCCTTGTCTCTCAAACACAAAGACCAACAGAAGATTCAGATTCAGTGTAATTAATGTCCTTCCCAGGTCTCCTTCAGTCTTTACAATCATGTCGATGGCGTTTCTTCTCTTTCAACAGTACCTGCTGTCGCATTTGTTTTCTCCGCTGCATCTGAGGTGGGAGAATATATGTTTATATCCAACAATTTAATAAATTGCAATTGTAATCACTGTGTTTAGGGCTAACAAGCTACGGTGAACATGGTAAGCATTACACCTGCATTCAGGCAATGTCAGAAGAATGGAAAGAACAGGAAAATGTCCTGTTAATTCAACTTGGGAGTCCTACATTATTCCAAGTTAGTTAACACCACTAAGCCTCAAGTCGTATTATTTAAGTATCCCTAGCAAGTGATACCTGATACAAACAAACCATGTTTTTAAATTAGCTGAATCTTTTCTTTTAGTGATAAATGATCAGTGTGTAGAGATTTAGATCCATCTCGCGGTGAAGTTGCAGATTGCAATTAACCGTTTGCATCAGTATGTGTGTAGGAAAAAGTATGGTTGCCGCAAAACTGCCCTATCTACAGCCATTGTTTGGTTTGTCCTAAACTACTGTAGAAACATGGTGGTTACACATGGCGGACTTAATGGAAGGTGACCCGCATCGTCTGTAGATAAAAACAACTGATTCTAAGGGAATGAGAACACAATGGTTTCTATATTCAAGTGATTATACACTGATAAAAACATACCTATGAATATTATATTCCATTTCTGCTAATAGATCCACCTTTAATATTGTAATTTATTTAGATGTAACTGCCTAAATATCACCATGTTAGCACTAACATTGTAACCATGTAAGCATCACAAGATTCTCAGTCTTATACTCTTGATTCGAACAAATGAACCTTATCATCGCATCATTTCCAGTCTATCTCTGATGTGTTTTGTTTATAATGGATCATCTCTCTTACCCTTGATACTCTCTTGCAGTGCTTCATGTCCTGCAGTACTCTCCGTCCCTTCACTGGTCTCAATCTCTTTTCCCTTCGTTTTGGGTTTCTTTGCAACAGGGGGTGGCACCTTGACTCCCTTCTTCACCGACTCTGCTTCACTCACCACATTTGTTACAGAGGAAACCTCCAGGTTCTTCTGTATGGTTGTCTTGGTCTCCGGTTCCGGCTTGGTCTCAATCACCACATTCTTGTTGCTTTTGGAGAAGATAAAGCTTGCTGTGCTGGAAGGGGACTTATGGAGGTCTATTGGTGATGTTGGTGAGTGCAAGCTGAGACGAGACGCAGGGCCGCCTTTTGATCTAGCTGCTGTCCTGAGGCGGATGGCCTCCTGAAGGTTCATGGAAGGAGAGGCAGTCATGGCAGGAGGAGACTTTTTCGTAGGAGACAGTACTGTGGATTGAGACCCAGGTGGAATCACAAGAGACTGGGACTTGGGCAGAGCTGGTTGTGAAATAACTATGGCAGGTGGGGAAGTGGATGTGGGAGAGGTCATGATTAGAGACTTTCTGATGGGCTTCTGAGGAGCCTCACCACTGGCAGACAAGGTTGGAACCTCATGACTGGGCGGCCGATTCCTCAGTGTGACCTCAGCCTCCGGTTCCTCCTCAGCTTTAGGAGGCTCGGGGCTGCTATTGATGGACCGCAGCTTGACCATCTGCAGAAGGGAGGGGGTGACAATGGGAATGGGTTCGTCCTGTAAAACAGGGACAGGGGTCAGCTCCGGGGTTTGGTTTTCTGTGCTCAGAGGACTTGGCTGGTATTTAATGCTTGCAAGACCCTGTACAGGTAAAGGTGGAGGTAAAGGAATGTTTACAGGTGGGGAAGGAGCATGTTCTTGAGCCTTTTCTGTTGACAGAGAGTTTTCAAGTGCTGGTGGGATAGAGACTTCAGATGGTGGTGAATTTGAGGCCTCCTTGGTTGCTGAACCATCAGTATTTGGGGGTACAATTGGTGGTTGGTGGAGAGGCTGTATGGGTGGGGGTGGTGGAATACTCTGAGGGGGAGCGAGAATACTGTTAGATGAAACCGGGATAGTTTTAGATTCGGATGGGACGTTCTCTTGTGGAAGATCAATCTCCTGCTCTGACGACTGGGGTTGTGACGGTAGAGGTGGTGGAGGTGGAATACTTTGTGGCGGAGTGAGCTTGCTAACAGGTGGGGCCTCTTCAGAAGATTGATGGGCATTCCTCTGAGAAGATGGAGGAGAAACCTCTTTAGTGGACAGAGTGGAGACCTCTTGACAAGGTAGAGGGGAGACTTTGATAACCAGTGGAGGGGAGACCTCCTTAACTGGTACTGGGACCTCTTTAACTGGTACTGGGACATCTTTAACTGGTACTGGGACCAGTGTGGAGGAGACGTCTTTAACAAGTGTAGAGGGGGCTTCTTGACTCGGAGGAGGAGAGGACTCTTTGGGCTTTACATGAGAAACCTCTTTAGGTGGTGGAGGAGAAACTTCTTCAGGTGGTGGAGGAGAAACTTCTTCAGGTGATGGAGGAGAAACCTCTTTAGGTGGCGGAGGAGAAACCTCTTTAGGTGGCAGTGAAGAAAACTCTTTAGGTGGTGGCAGAGGCATTGAAGGAGATACCTTTTTAATTGTAGGAGGGGAGACTGCTTCAAGTGGTGGAGGGGGAGCCGTATATGATGGGGGGGGTGGGATATTCAGGGGTGGTGGTAAAATCTCCTTGGATGTACTGTGCTTCTGTGGTTCAGCCTCTGTGGTCACCTTAGCACATTCTGTTTTCACCACTGATAAAGAAGATTTAGTTGTACAAGAGGAGTCACCACCAGGAATGGACCTCTCTGGTGGCATCTGAACAGGTATAAGTAAACCCTCCTCACCAAACATTGGGGGAGGCGGGAGAGGGAAATCAATCTCATCAGGCCCACCGAGGCCCATTGGTGGAGGTGGTGGGGGCCAGGACGACTCGGGGGATACAACGACTTGTACTGATGCGACTGAAGACAACTCTGTGGTCTGTTTGGTGGGGGGTTGGGGAGGATTGTGTACTGGAGGAGCAGAGGGAGATAGAGGAATGCGTACTAATGAAATGGCAGATAACGTATCCTTGTTAGTCTTCACCTCTGTATCTTGTGTGCAGGTGTTTTTACCTCCTTCTTTCACTGCCGCCAGCCTTTCTTCACGTCTCTCTACCGCCTTCACTAACATCCCATTTAATATATCACATACTCTTACTTTCTCATCTTTTTCTGACACTTTTCTATTTCCTTTGACATCAACATTCTGCTCTTCCAGTCTGTCATTGTTCTCTTTGTGAATCTCTGCATTCAAAATCTCACTATCTTGAACTTTCTTTGTCTCTAGAACATGTACGGATCCATTAACAGACTCCACTATTACAGTCGGATTCTTGTGTTTTCTTTCTATCACCAAGCTCGTCACAGACCCCTCTGTAGATGCAGAAGGAGACTTCCTCTGTTGTCTCCTGTCCTTTGGATTCTTCTTTATGATGGCATAAACATTATCAGGTGCCGGGGGTCCCAGTAGCAACTCAAAGGTACGCTTGCTGTGAGCCCATACCTCCGGAGGAGGTGGTGGAGGTGCATGGACTTTAGGTGGTGGAGGGATGTTAAAGAGCTCTCTCAAGGTCCTTACTGAAGGGCTGATACTGGCAGTGTTGACTGGGGTGTCAGCTTTTAGATCCTTCGGAGCATCTGACTGTGTTGGAGGGGCTTGAGTTGAAGCAACAGCATTGGGCCCAGGGAAAAACTTTTGAAGCTTAGCTAAGAGGCCTCTTTTGTTTCTTGGAGATGAGCTGTGGGGCTGTTTAGAAAGCTGTGCAGACCTGCCATCTTGGCTGGAGTAGCCACTGGATGGGGAGACTATTTTGCTTGGCTTATTCTCCTGCAGTAGTTCCTGCTTCTCTTTTGAAGCATCTTTGGAAGCAGTTTCCTCAAGTTTTGCAGCTTTCTCTGCCTTTCGGGCCTGCAGCTGGGATCTGAAGGGACTTACTGACACAGAACCTATAGACTCATCCAGAGAACTTGTGTCAGCGTTGTATCCAGGGCTGTCTATGATTCTGGAGGGGGTCGGACAAGATCCAGAATAGTTTTTTTCATTTTCCTCACCTGAGGCTGAGATGCTATGGAGAGAAGATTCCCCTGAAATGATCCTCACCTCTGCCAGATCACGTGATCGGCGCTTCATCTTATTGTGAAGGGAGTAGGAGCGACTTGGAGGAGGAGGAGCCCTCTTTGGCTTCATGACAGAGAGGCTACGCACAAATGGGCCCTCTTTCTTAACCTCGTCTCCCTTAACAACGAGCTTGCCATTGGAGGTGCATTTTGAAGCCTTGCTGATGGAGGAGTGAACACTGTTTTTGTCTTCTTTTGAAGAGGCATCTCTGTCCTGTGACCTTTGTCTGGGGGTGCTGCTGCTGGAGATGGTTGAGGAGTCAGATACCAAGGTCTCTGAGGACTCAGAGTTGCTCCAACAAGAGCTGTCTGACAGGTTGGGAGGGTTGTGGCGAGAGGCAGAGGAGATGGTGGAGGCTTTGGAGGAAGTGGTTCTGGAGGAAGAGGCTCTAGAGGAAGCACGGGAGGGGGCTGGGCTTGACAGCAACAGACTGCTCTTGCTGACAGTGCGTACACTGTTGCGACTCCGTCCACGGCTGATTTCCACAACATCAATGGAGGGTGGCAACACCGCATTGGGAATGATTTTGGACATGTAGGCGGCCTGTGGTGACATGGACATGACAGGGCTGGGCGGCTCCTGCTGGAGGCTGTTGGCAGTGGTCATCCAGGGGACAGCCAGGGACCGAGGCCTCTGCTCACCTGAGAAGCCGGGGCCCAGGCGGTGCAGCAGGGCCAGGTCATCCCTATGACCAGCATGGGTGGCACCGAGCTTCTTGAGTTGGTCTTTGTTGAGGGGCTGGATCATGTTTTGAAGGTTGGCACTGGCTCCTTTTTGTGACTGCTCTGGTCCATCAGCGCAGCTGTCGTCAGTTTCACCATTATAAAGCTGTTCCTCATCTAACCTCTGAGTCACTGACCAACCCACTCTGTCCAGGCCTGATAGAAGAAAGGAGGACCAATTAGCACAAGTTCATATTAATAATTAAGGAAATGGACATGTATATTTTCTACATATATTATATTTCTGAATGTAGCTCATTCAATTTAAAGAGTAATTAATAGATGTTTTTTTTTTGTAAATAATACGTTTAAATAAAGAGCTGCATACCCAGTTCTCTCTGAACATGTTGTGGGATACCCACAACAGTCTTCCTGTGTCTTCTCCTTGTCTTGGCCTTTTCTGACTTTTTCCCAGAGTTCAAGGGCCTGAATGTAGATCCTGGACAGACAAAGGTATGAGAGAAAAGCAAGAAACTTAATTTAAACTAAATTTAATTTAAACTAAATATAATCTATATATCTCATCATTAAATGTTTAATCTGACATTTTATGTGTTTGCATCACCATATGTTGTGTAATGACCAAGATGGGATATAAATATGCTTGTGTTAAAGTTACCTTGCCTGGTGAGTCCAGAGCGGGAAGATCTGGTGGACACAGACGATTGTACAGAGACAACAGAAGTTGTGTCAGCAATGGTACTGTCTGTCATAAACCCTCCACCTTCTCCGTCTGTGTTGACTGTCATATTCGACTGGAAAAGAGAGAAACAATCTTTTTTAGAAAAAAATCACTTGTGAAAGAACTGTGCATGTGCAGTAAATGTAAGAAAAACAATAATTCTGGGTGTGATGCGTCACTTACAATTGTGCTTTCATTATCCTGGTACTCCACTCCATTATTGGTTTCTGCAAAGAGAGTAACATTTAACTCTGTAGCTTTATAATGGCGATTAAAATTCTTAGCTGTGATTATATTCTCTAGTGCACTCCCTCTTGAGTAATATATAGACAGTTATCAACATGTTGGCATGGGACACCCTTTAATTTAATGATGCAAGACGTATAACTAGAGTGTTTTGTACCTTCTTGCTGCATCATTTTCAATCCCTCCAGGGCCTCAGTATGAAGGTTCTCCAGGTACTTGGGCCTGCTGGCCTCAATGAACACGTTCTCCTGGAACAAAGGGGGTGCTGGGGTTTTGTCATCGTCATCTCGCTTTGGGACAGCTGGAAGTAGAGAGAAGGGAGAGGGGATCAGCTTAGATCAACTCAAAGCTCTGTGTTACTGTAACAGTAAATAAGGGGGCCATATGGATAGGATGAGAGCATTCAGGTGTCTGCCAGGGACATTTAAGTACAGGAACAGTAAATATGTTTGAGGGTTAATACCTGAGTGTGACTGTGAGTTAAAAAGGCTGAACTCCAGTTCCACTTAGGCAGGATTAAACTCCAATGACTGACAACCACTTAACAGGGGATAATCATATAAAAAACTCTACCGTCAGAAACATTATGCTTTGTATTTTCTTTAAGTATAATTTAATTAGGCAGTGAGAAGGACACTAATTAAATTGCTGTCACATCTTGTTAAATGCTTCCTACATCAGTTCAATCTTTCATCAGCTAATTATAAAATACCTGGAATACTATGTCATGAGCCATGGGCACCATCCAAGAAAACATGTCAACTTGCTTTGAGATATAAATTGCATTCAGTCATATGTAAACTCCAATAACTATAATAACCTTACACAACTTATTTATACAACACCAAGCTGAGTTACTGGTTTGCATTATATGATTTTACTTGCAAAACTATACAAATACTCTGCATTTTTGCATTTTAAAAATTCATTTCATATAAAAAGAATGAGAAAACTTGCATAAGACAAAAACAATTGTTACAGTAGCTCTACTTTTGCTGACCAACTGGCATTTGATTTAACTCTGTCATGCTTGGGGACAGTCTAGCATCACTGGGCTAACAACCTGCTTAGACACTTTTATGTAATAGAGACAGCTGCTCCACATTTAGCTACCTACTTTACTCCACTGTAGCTATAAGACCATGCTGGAATTAGCCTTGACAGTCATGTGCTCAGTGATCGCTACTAATTATTACCACTGTCTCTTCTGTAACAGCATTACGGGTGCTCTGCTGGCAGAAAATAATAAGCAACTATCTATTAAAATGCAGAATTCTTCTTCTTACTTTATTTTCCTGCAATTTACAGCAAATATTAGTTGCTAAAGTGAGACTATAAATCACAGCACATTATATATCAGGAGAGCACACATTACAAACTGACTGTGGTTTTTATGGTTTATAGCGACAGTGAATGACTACGCTTTAATTACTTTACTGCCTGTCTTAGGTGAGCCAGATGATCCAGCCTGTACTGGCCATACCTGAATAGCAGTTTTAACAAGGAACAATTGGTTTGACTCATAAACCAATCAGGTCAGTTGTCTTATAATTTCAAACAACTGGCATGTGCTGCTTTCACTCACCTTTCCTCTTGAAGACTGTTGGAAAGCAGTAGAAATTCATACTAGACTTATGAGTCAAAAGCACTACCATGGTGTCTCCTAAATCTTGGAAAGTAATCCAAAAGTAAACCAAAACTATGCCAAAGTTGAAGAAAGAGGAGGACGAATTAGATCTAAAGGTGTAGTCCGTAGTCTGCCAGCTCAAAAAACATCCCGGAAAGATCAAGACAGAATAAAAATCTTGTTTTTGATGAAGCTGTTGTTGTCAGTTCAGGTCCATGTGGAGCGGAGAAGTTCTCTACAGCCAATAGACAATCAGAGCTCAGACACTAATCCTCAGCAGCCTAATTCCTGCCATCCCTCTCTACTCTCTCCCCCACTCGCTGCTCAACAAGATACCCAGCATCCCACTATTGCTCCCCATCTGAAGGCACACTCAACCCGGATTGGTCAGTCAGGGCAAGGATCAAACTGAGATCATACATGTAAACATTGAAGGGAAAAGAAAGCTGTTGTCAGGGATTTGAGGTACGAGGGCGTCACGGGTGGCTCCCTCTTACTTGAGCCACAGCTTTTAATAAATAACACTACGCTGCTTTGTTAGATTACACACCATTTTCACTATAGAACCCTAGTAATTGAGCAAATCTTTTAACTCCTCAGACTACATTAAGAGACCTATAACTTTATTGTTTTGCCACAAGGGGGAGTAAGTGAATTAAAAGAATCTATTCTTAAAACAAGATTAAAAACATGTTTAAAAAAAAGAGGCCTGCAGCTCCACAGCACATGGTCACACATGTGAAAAATGTTCCCTATTGTTTCCAGGAGAATTATATTAGATCTGTTACTATGCAGCAAGAATACAGAGGATGGCATAAGATCACATTTAATCAAGAGCTACTATCTAGAGAATAATTTTCTGATCTGTGGAGACATCATGCACTTTTCTAAAACTTGTTTTCAAGTGAGACTTCTGTTGTTGAGACTATTTCTTCATCTTTTTTTCTTTTTGTTTTCTATTTAGGACACCTCAAACTCATTTGCGGCTACGGGGTTTGTTCACTTCCTGGTGTGCTGAGCAGACATGACATGGAATGTATGCCATCTGAACAAATGGAAAACATTCCCATGGTCGTGATCCTAACGAGTGACTCAAGCAGTTTACAAAGAAAAGAAAAGAAATGAATCACATGTGTTACCAGTACGTAGCAACAAGTAGAAATCATTATTTCAACAGAATCCACTGCTGAGGTGGAAGCTTCAACCTATAGATTTAAACAGTAAGTTGATATGTATGTGCAAGGTAAAGTCAGTCTAGGACAACACTTATCTGGTTACCATGACAGTACACACTCGCCTGCAGAGGCCTGGAGTGATGGGTGGGGCACAACTGCACGTTAATGAGGGGCTCACATTATCACTGGTTCTGTGATCTCATTGTAATTGTGTCCATATTAATCACTGACATATTAAAGACACCATCTGTCACTCGTTGATTGCTCGGAAGCTGGCAGTATTAACGGGCTGATGGTGATTATGTATGAACCCCCAAACTCATGTTTACATCTCGGATTTGGATAAATATACTAAATCCAATGGATGTAATACTGTGTGACCAGTTTATTCAAGTTGCCGACTTCAGCCTCTAGTGAGGAAAACAATGTGTTAAAAAAAAAATCAGCTCAAGGGAGGAATTATGATTACATTTTGTGACATGTAAATAATGGTGGATTTAAAGTAGAACATTTTAAATGAGCCAACATCTGTTGGCAAGTTTGTTTTGGTAAAATATGGGTTATCTGGCAGTAAACAGAGACAGAAGGGTTCAGGAGATATGTTGCATCATCAACAACTGTAAACAAATTACAAATACTGTCACAGACTTCAGTGGATATGACATGCAGCCATGGCAATACTATACCATTTTAGATTAGTAGCACTGTGAAACAATTTAGGTTCAGAAAGAAATTACTTGAAAGTTAAAAGAAATTTAACATTTAAACCAAATTTGTGTTTTTCATTTAAGAATAATCATCTTTTCTAGTAAGGCTTCTAAATCAGAGCATATAAAATATAATTGGTTGACAGATACTAGCTCTAAAAAGGGATGGACAACTGATATTTTTTTTGGGAAGTTGTTGTTAATGTCATCTCATAAACATGCAGGGCAGAATGCAAGGAACGAGGGACGGGAGCGGGAAAGACAAGCTGCTCAGCTTCGAGTGTATACAGCTAAAATTGTGAATATTGTGATTCATTATTGTAAAGAGCAACAGTCTTTATGTGAACACACTGACACAGACAACCTGATGTGACTCTTTTTAGAACCGCTCCATGGGAATTAAACAGATGCAAATACCCCCCACACACACACCTTACATCCCTGCCCTAACTTGCCCCTGTCTCTTGTTTTGCACTGCCGGGCAGACAGCCATGCAGAGGCATTCTCTCCGGCTCTGAGGGTGCTGTCTGCCAGGTGCTTAAGCCTCTCTAATCAGCGCAAACTCAACTGACACACTGTGATGACAGTAGGAAAGGGCTGGTGGCTAACTGTTAAAACTCTAAAAGCAAGAATGTACAGTCTTGATACACTGGACACACACGTTAATGTGTCCTGGTCGAAGCTTGTGTGCTCCATTGACTATTTTCACGCTCTTGGTTACCAATGAATAAAATATAAACATATCTCCGTCAAAGCTGAAAGGAAGGAAGAAAAGAAGAAGCATGGTGTGACAATGAAGACAATCCAGGTAATGGATACATCGGCATTATCTGGCACGCAGGGTTACACTCTATTTTACTGTCAGACATCACAACCTGTATGCCAGCAAACCAGTATGTATCAGATACCTGCAAAAATATACCCCAGACGCACACAAACGCACACTATTACTATTATTTTGCAGGTGGACAGTTTTTGCACCATACTTAATGTCATTAGTCATCACTTTACATCCTGCACCTCCCCACAGCCTTCATCTGTCAGTTTGTAGTTTAAACGTCAGGAGTGAGCAAACTCATGTTCTCAAACTCATTGACATAGCGATGAGGTCTTTCTAAGGGTAAGCCATAAGCAACAAATTAAAATCCCATTAAAAAATATGCAGGAGAATTTAAACTATTCAGGACTGCAAGAGCCTGTTTAATGTAAGCACAACTTTGCTACAGGCTCCTATTATATGTGATTACAGACAATAAAACAGTGTAATGGTCTGGGGGTACCTAAGGTATAATTCTTAGCAAGTTGGTAGGTAGGTAAGTGTTAGTTAAAGAGAAACACGGTTTTGTTACTAGGTACTTAGTATAAAATGGAAACCAAACTGCTGTGAATGTGAATTCAGGAAATGTTCTCAGGGGGTGTAACCATTGTGACGTGTAGTAAAGTGGGTGTGTTGTGTGGCAAATGTCTGTTAGTCGATCCACCACTTTGGCCCACACTTAAATATCCCAACACGTATTGTATGAATTGCCACAAAATTTTCATTTTCAATGTTTGTTTGTGACCAAATACCTGCACAACTGATAACATTCCCATCAGCTTCATCTGTCTTAGTGCCAATTAGAAAATATTAGCATGCTAACTAAGAGGGTAGTGACCATGGTAAATATTACCCGCTAAGGCATACTTTGTAGGATTCGTCAGTTTCTGTTCATAAATACTTGTTACAAAGTGTCCTCGCCTCCCCAGCTTAAGCAAGAGAGAGAGCAGCAGTGGTTGATCGAGCTACAGAGTG